TAATAATAATAATAATAATAATAATAATAATAATAATAATAATAATAATAATAATAATAATAATAATAATAACAATACGACTAATAATCCCTCGACTAATAGTAATAAACTTAATAGTACTATTATTAATAAAGATTCCAATAACGACAAAAGTAACAATAATAATTCTAATTCTAACTCTAATTCTAATTCTAACAATTCTATTCATGACAACGTTATCAACACCAACAATAATAATGAAATTAAAAAAGAAGAAAGTGGAGCTAACTCGATGGCAAACGCTCAAGCTAAATTAATTTCTTCGATTGCTGTTCGACCAGACGATATTATAAACAACGGCAACAATCATATTGATACAACGTTAGAGCAAACAAGTGGAGTTGTTTCCTCGGTGTCACCGCAAACAATTTCTGGAGGGGAAAATAGTCCACCAACACCAAAGTTTTCAGACTCTGATAATTTAGGTCTTTTGGAAAATAACACGAGGCTTTCCTCTATTCAACCTTTGAATAACATTAGCATTGCTAGTAATAACACCACCGCAACTACTAGTAATAATAATACTAGTAATAATAATAATACTAGTAATCATAGTAATAATAAAAAAAATAATAACAATAGTAGTAGTAATAATAATAACAATAATAATAACAACAACAACAACAACAACAACAACAATAATAATAGTAGTAGTAGCAATAGTAATAGTAATAATAATAGTAATAGTAGTAATGATAATAATAATAGTAAAGCTGCAACAACGTTGTCATCATCACCAACATCTAAACAAAGGTATGGTAATAAAAAAGGGGTGACAACAAGCTGGGTTTGGTCACATTTGAAGAAGGATGAAACACAAAAACTAGTATTATGTCAAGTATCGGTATTGAATAAAGAAGGGGAACCCGTACCATGTGCACATCAATTTCAAATGTCAACGAGTACTAGTAATTTAGCAACACATTTACGAAGTCAACATCAAATTTATGATCCATCAAAAGCATCAGTTCCCGGCGCTACTGCTTCTGTTTCTGCTCCTACTTCTTCAATAAATCCCAGCATTACTTCTGTCGCTGTTTCTACCAATGGATTTCACGGTAGCAATGCTACCACTTCTGGGATCAATTCAATGATGTCTTCCACCCCAATATTAATGAGATCACCGTCATTACAAATGTCTTCATCTATTGCAATGCCATCATCTCATCAACAAGTTCAAATTCTTCAGCAACCATTAAATCAACAACATCAACAACAGCATCAATTATTAATACATCCACCTTCAATTCCTTTCTCATATCAACAGCAACAATCTCCATCCTCGCAAATTCCAGTTCATCCACTTTCAACTATTTCAATTTCACCATTGACTAACAATAATAATAATAATAATAATAATAGTAATAGAAATAATAGTAATAATAACAATAATAACAATAACAACAACAACAATAATAATAATGACGATGGTAATGATGATGTTAGTAATGCATCTTCAACATCTACCACTGTTACTTCTACAACCATTGCAAGATCTCCGATACAGAGACAATCATTCGCACCACTGTCGCCTGAGCGAATAAAAATGCATAATAAAGATAAGCAAAATCGATTAGTAGCGAAATTAGTAGCTTGGTTGGTTGATGATTCACAACCTTTTAAACTTATCGACAACCAAAAATTTCGTGATTTTTGTCAAGAAATGGATCCAAGATTTAATCTTCCTTCTATAAACTCTTTAAATACTTTTACGGAATTGGGTCTCGGTGATTTTATACAATCAACTCCGTCGTCATCATCTTCATCATCAAATGTTTTAGTGCCAGTAAAACGCCCAGCTAATGTATCATCATCATCACCTTCACCCAGTAGCAATACTTCAACAATTGAGGGAATTGCATCTCCATCTAAACGACTCAAATCTACCAGTAGTTGGGTTTGGAATCATTTAAGAAAAGATGATTCGACCAAAATTGTCACGTGTCAAGTTATTGTGCTGAATGAGAAAAACGAAGAGGTTCAATGTGGTCACCTGTTTCAATATTCAACAAGTACAAGTAATTTAGCCTCTCATTTACGTGGTACTCATCGAATTCTCGATGCAAATACTCCATATACTCCAACCCGTGCTGCTACTACTCGCACAAATGCAACAAACGCTCCTACGACTTTTCGTACACGCTCAACTTCACGTAATAGAGGAACAGCATCATCATCATCATCATCATTTGATTGGTCAACAAAAATTACAAATAACTCGTATCAACATCTTACCGTAGCTACCACAAATCCTTCCACATCCCGAACACATCCTAAAGAGAAACAAGAAAGATTAATCTTTAAATTGGTAGCATGGATGGTTGATGATTTGCAGCCTTTCAAGTTATTGAATAGTGTTAAATTTCGCGAGTTTTGTCATGATATGGATCCGAAATTTATGCTTCCATCAATCGAACAGATCCAACAAATAATCGTTGATTCGGCAAATGGAATCCAAGAAAAACTTGTTCACCTTACTCAAAAAAGTATGATCTCCTTTAGCTACACAACTGAACTATGGTCAAATGACCAAAATTCTTTCATTGCAGTATACGTTCATTGGATCACCGATAAATTTATTCAGAGAAAAGCCTTACTAGATGTAGGCACTTTGCCCATCAATCCTACCAATGAGCATTTATCCCAAGCATTGAAAGATCTTTTCGATAGATGGCAAATATCTGATAAATTACTAGCGACAGTTAATGATATTAAAGACAATGATAACTCAAAGATAAGCAATTCTCTTAAAGCTGATCACGTTCTTTGCGCTGCACACATTATCAATACCTCGATTGAATCGGGTTTAGCAAAATGTGACCACACCCTAAAGAAAGCTACTGCACTTAATGACTTTCTTGTGCATAGAGTAGATAAACATCGCGATAGATTTTTTGGAATACAGGCAATGGTTCGATCAGATAAACAATTATATCAAGCAATCAAACAAGAATCGGGAAATTGGAATTCTATTTATCTGGTTCTTGAACGATTACTAACGCTTAGATCTGCTACGGAGGTATTACAAACTGTCCTTGTTCGTGATGCTGATGTACAAATTAAGAATGATGGTAATGACCTAGCGAAGCTTTTACTCGCAGATGAGGAATGGGAAGTGGTACAAGAAATAATTTTTTTGTTGAAACCATTTACACAAGTTATTGAATTTACGGAGTTTAGAGAAGAAAATTCTTCTCTCGGTATAATGTTTCAGGCAATTTTAAAATTATTTATTCATCTGAACCAATCCCCTCAAAATATCAAAAGACCATCAATTCTCGAAGTTCAGAAAGAAATTTTATCAACAATGAATAAACATTGGAAGAGTCCGGAACCTCTTGGTTTATTGGCCACTCTATTGGATCCACGATTTAAATCACTGCATTTGTTACCTGAAAAGAAACGAGAAGAAGCGGCAAAATTGTTAAATGAAAAAGTGGCAGCTTTTGGGGATGTCGATGCACCAGTTGGCATAATTAAGAAACCATCAACTGATTGTGGTAATCCTTTGGCGGCATTCTTTGATGACGACCTTACTTCCTCTGCCAATAAAACAGAAGTTGATCTCTATTTACGATTACCGGAACTTGCAAAAAATGAAAATAAAGGGGCGCTTGAATGGTGGCTGGAAAATGCTTCAAAGTTTCCCGGACTGGCATTGCAAGCACGCATTTATTTGGGAATTCCTGGTATTTGTGCTCCTGCGGGACGTGTTTTCTCTGAAGATTCCGAACAGAAAGTTTTATTGAATGGAAAAAGACAACAACTTGATCCTAATTTTGTGCACTATATTATGCTATTCAAAGAAAACTCAACGCTGTTTGAGAATACGCCTTATCCTGTGTATTTTAATTAATAAATTTATTACAATTACTATTATTTCGAGGCTTGGTTAATTACTTAATAATTAGTGTGTTTGGTTTTAAATCCTTTACATTGTCACCGATAACCTATCTAAAAAGATGAGTATTTTCTTCCTCATTAATAGGTATAGTCTGAAAAGGTAGTCAAATTCGTTAGATCAAATGTAATTGTATGGAAGTTGTGAACATTGTTAATAAAGATGAAGTTGTTATCAATAATCAAATAAAATTTTTTCAATTCATTACAAGATAAATTTTAATTGGAAATAAATAAACAGATGTATTTTCTATCATATACCACGTGCCCAAATTTATCCTGAATGCTGATTGGTTTAGACAATCGAGAAGTTGCAAAATTTTGCATAAACTATATAACAGCGACGCGGACTTCTTTTTGTAAATTTTTTTCGTTATAAAGTCAAACGGCATCATAACGGTTTTTTTCATGGTGAACATAAAAGTTAAAGAGCGAAAAGTAAGTAAATCAATTAATGTGTCAAATATTGATCAAGAAAAAAAGTTTTTTCTTTAATCTTAATCTATAAAACGATACTATCTTGATTTTTCCGCTTAATGATCTTAGAGAAGGAATACGTAAATTTTTACGATAAAATTTTAATAATTAATGGTAAGCTTATAATTCAATCCAAGTTTCAACTATCACTTTATCAATATTCATTAACAATTATCTACTCAAAAACCCAATCTTTTTTCCTTCATTTCTAAAGTCATTGATTGAACCATATCAATCAGAAATACTTTATTATTATAAAAATCATAAATAGCATTCTTGTATAGAGTCTCGGAACTATTAAAACTCGTCAGAAATACCAATTTATTGAGCCTAATCAAAAATATAATAAAACCACATGGATCGCAAACTTCAAAAAGTGGCTGGAAGAAAAACTCCCAAAAGATTATTCTACATTGGTAGTGCTTATCTTCGAATGGGCATTAAGCATCGACCGCTATCCAGATCCAGACGCAGTCATAATAACAATGATCATTTCATGCCGCTGCCGTTGACACCGCTTACCCCACCTAGATTATTGGAGGAAGGTGATAAAGGCAAATTAGCAAATTATAGTAATGACACGGACATGATTGAGGTTGCAAAGATTATAGCGAATTTACAAGATGCTGTGGTATCACGTGATAGTAGTATAGTAGTAGTGGTTGACAATAAATACGTGGATGATGATAATAGGAATGATATTAAAGGAATCAAAAAAAGCAAGGATAATGATGACGTAATTATGAATGATGCAGATTTTATTGAAAAAGATAATGTCAAGACTGCTAGTATTTTTGATGTTTCAAATAATAACCAGATTTCAAGTGGTCATATTGATGCTAGCATGGAAGTTGACATCGTGGCTAATTCTAATAATAAAAAAATAGAAAAAAACATCGTGCAAATAAATCACTATTATAAGACAAGAAAATCAAGTAAAAATTCGAAGAACATTAATGACACAAATGTACAGCAAAAAATTGAAGCGAATAAAAATGACAAGATTGAAAATACTGATGATGTTATTAGCAACATTAATAATTACATGAATTCTTCAATATCTGAATCAAGTATTGGAAAGAAAGAAGTTGATGTTCTCGTCGAGGAAAAGAATGAAAATAATCACCAAGATGAATCTGAGAAGAATGAAGCATTTACAAAAGTTGATGAGAGGGTAATACAACATAAACGTAAAGGTCAAGAACCTAAAAAAGAGCACGAAGAAGTAGCGCAGGAGCAAAAGAAAGGCGAAATCGATGCAAATCAAGATGGAGATGGTGTAACGAAAAAAGCACCACGTTATGAATTACGGCCAAGAAAGTATAACTCTATAATATTTCATCTCTCAAAAAACAAACCTATACCGAAAACTCCGTATGATTTGCGATCAAAAGAAAAGCCGAGACGAAAATACAAACGACTTGTTGAGTATCCGCCGAAACTCAAGAAAATTTCCGAGCGAAAAAAGAAATATTTGGTTGCACAACGGAATAAAAATAATGATAAAGTTAATTTCGACAGTAATAACAGCGTTGTTCACAGTGACGCTGTTAGTGTCATCATCAATAATAATGGCATTGAAAGTAACAACAATGCTATCAAGGGTGAGGAAGAAGGAAAATCGGAAATTTATAATGTGAATAGTAATAATGATTATAACAATCTAGTTACTGCAGTTATTAATATACCGATCAACGGTTCATCTCAAGACACTAAGCTGACGGCTAATATTCAATCATTATCATCTCCACAAGAACAACCTCAGCAAACTGACGAATTACATTTAATTAATAAGAATGACAATAATGCTTCGCCACCTAATAAAAACAATAATCAAAAGCATATTCATGATTCCAACATCCAGAATTCGAAATCTCTGAGTCAAAATATTCGCAAAAGCAATGAAAAGACGAAAACTCTAATAAGAATACCAATTCCCAGTAAACAAACTAGGAACAAAAAACGATCATTATCTGATGCCCAAAAATCAGCATCTTCAACGTCTCCTAGTAAATCAGTTTTACCCAAATCATCGGCAACAACAACAACTACCATGATAAAACCCAAATGCCCGAAAATTGATCTTTCGAAAATCGTGTCTTCACCGAATATCAGCAAAACAGATACTTTACCAAAAGAATCTCCTAATAAAATTCCAAAATTAACAGATAATAACGAAAAACAATCGAAAATCACTCCCAATAAAAAAGGTAAAAACAAAAAAAGTTTAAAAACAGAAAATAATTCGAATCCTATTCCTGAAGTCACTCATTCATCACTAGTCAATGACAAAGTCGAGGAATTTGTTAAAAAATTTACAACATATTTCACACTTCGTAAATCATCATCATCTATTGTTGCCTCCGAAATTCATGGATTGATGAAAAATGACGACACATCAACTATCACTGATGAAATATCTAATGATGCAATTTCTCGAATAATATCACGTGTCTCTATACCACGTGACCCAGAGATCTTGTTGACTATCGGTAAATGGATACAAGCTCAACGACTGAGTCAATCCCGATTATTAGCATCTAAAATATCAAACCTCATATCGAATGCCCTATCGGAAGTTTTCACATTTGATATTATTAATTTGGAGTATTCATTGGACTCAAATCAGATTAATATTATCGATGAATTCTTTCATCATGTGGGATTAAACTCAGAATTACCCTTAAAGACTGTTGCTGAGGAAATTATAAAGATAATTTTTATTGCAATGCCTGAAAGTGATGGCAAAGAAACAGATAGGGTTCGATGTTACATTCAACAATCGCATGGCTCTATAATTATTACCGCTATGAACACTTGGATACAAAATAGGAAATTAAAGAATAAAAAATCAGTTGCCGGTGAAAATTGTAACGATGTGGAATCGGATGGAATGATATTAAAAATTCAAGAAATTGCAAATATGATTAAGGAAGGGACTTCGATTACTCCTAATGTGACGACTACGACAAAAGATGATACATCTTTATCAACATTAGTTCCCGCAGATGAAGTCAATAACAGTGAAAATATCAGCAGCACAAATAACAAGGAGGAGCTGATGATCACAAATCATACCAATGATACGATTGTTGTGCCAGCTACATCAAATATCGATCAAGGAAATGCAAGTAACAACAGCTCATCTGTACCCATTGCATCAGGTATCGATGTTTCCTCTTTACCTGGTGAGTCCCTTGCTGATGAGGATAATATGCATGTTAATTTTTTATCGCCGTCAAATAATATTAATAATCAAGGGCAAAGTATTGTCTCATTAAATGATTCTTTCAATAACAATTTATTAAACAAAAATATTTTTATTACTTCGATCAATGGCGAAGATTCAATTACTACTACTAATACAACTGAAGCAACCACATCAATCCCAACAGCATCACTGTCATTACCGTTTTTCTTGAAGAATAAAAACCTTGAAATAAGTTCAGCAAATAACAAAATTTATGACTTGATTAAAGCATCTCGATATCAACCTTACCAAAAGGATTATGTTGCTCCTTCTCCGCATTTGAAAAAAGATTCAGTAACAAACGATAATAATTATTCTACTACTATTGTATGTACAGTAGATAATACACTTGTTGAAACATTTGTCATCTATCTTTCCATTGGTCGTCTGTTATCTTCGCCGATAACAGTCTCCGAGGAAATTTGTAAACTTGCACCGGCAAATACCAGATCCACAATCACCGGTTCTACAATTGCGAAATTGACCTCCCGGGTTTTAAATCAAATCGAGCAATCGGAGTTACAACTAATCAATACTTGGATTCACCGGGAGCGAATTCTTCGCACCAGAGATCTGATACAAGAGGTTGTCAATTTGATCAACGAACCGATGCAACAGCTTTTCGGAAATTCTGAATTATCGAGAAATAAAAATAATAAAGATGAAGATCCGAGCGAATTTATTGTCAAATGTGGGATTGTCGATGAATTCTTCAAGTGGTATAATGTTGGAAAAGATAAAAAGGGACTCGATGAAGTAGCTAAAGAGATTGTGCAGATTAGAAAAAATAGTCGGCAGGCGTTTTTGGTGAGTGCAAATGGAAATATTCTTGAGCAAGGAGCTAATACTAGATATGAGACTAGGAGTAAGGGTATTAACAATAGCAAGTGGTTATTGGAGGCTATGCGAAAGTGGAATCAAGAGCAACAAGAACAAGTTTCACGAAGATAATAAACACTTGAACACTGCTGGTAGAGTAAAAGATTAGGCGAGATCTAGTGAAAAATAGGATAATGGTTCTTAATTTAATTTTGATGAACAAATTGAATAAATTTTTTGTCTTTATTTCTGGACCCATTGATTGCCATTTTACATAAATTAGGCAGTTTTATTTATAAATTGAATAAGATCTAAAAAAAATTAAATCTTGATATATTTGATATATGTGTATGGAGCAACAAAAACGAACATTAAAATTTCAGAAATAAAGCAAACCTTTACTAAAGAAATTTTATTCAATAATAAACATAATATTAGACAAAACTAAAGAATTAAATAGTGTTATCATTTGAATATGTTTTATAAAATACAATGTATAATTTACATGATTCAAGTCAATTGAAAAAAATAATAAAATAACTAAAGAATTTATAACTAAAATACTAAAAATATGTAATAATGTTTGTTTTTATAAGTAGCCAAAATGAGCTCAGGAATCTTCAAATACAAAAAATAATTACAATTATAATTCAATCAACAATAAGTAAAATACTAATAACTTTTTATTATATTGTTATAAATTGATATTTTCTATATTATTAAATTATATTTTTAACTAATTAAATTATTTTTAGAATTTCAGTCAAATTTCTTTTTATAATTTATATATAAATTCTTATTGAATTATATTTTTAGTTAATTAAATTATTTTTAGAATTTCAGTCAAATTTCTTTTTATAATTTATTTATAAATATAATATATATCTTAATATTAAACAAATAAAAAATTAGTTATTCTTTTTATTTCTTTAATTATTTATTAGTTAGTAAATAGCTTTTATTTAATTATTTTAATTATGAAATTAACTTAGTTTATTTATAATTTTTCATTTTAATTGCAAAATTATAATTATTTAAATTAATAAAATAGATTATAAGTACTTTAACTTATTATAAATTATTCTTGAAATTATAAATATATTTATCTTTGATTACAAAAAAATTTTTAAGCTTATTTTAGTTACTTATAATATAAATATATGATATTTATTTTTAAAATAGTATTAATTTTTTTTACTTATAATTTCAATAATTTATTTTATTTTTTTATCTAATTTGATATCTTATATATTATTACTGTTCTTATATTAATAGATAAAGTATGAACTAATTATAGTAATTAATAATTATATAAAAATAATAATAGTAACTGTATATACTTGAGAAAGTTAGATACTAGATGATTGGAAAAGAATATTAAAAAGAAATATATTCTAATACTTTCACTAATTAGATAAGTATTTTATAATTCAAAAATATGAATAATTTATTAAATTACAAAATATGACTTTCACTAGTTGGATAAGTCAAAGTTAAGTAAATAATAAATCAAAGATAACAATAAGTAAAAGATTATTTAGAAATATCAATTAATTTTTATACTTTTATTACTTTTAAAATTACTACTAAATTACTTCAGAATTACTTAAAAATTATTTTATTATATGTTAAATTATATTTATTTAAATATATATAAATATAATATAATGTTACAGTTATTTTCAAAAATTTCATAATTAACAAATATTTCAAAAATAGTAAAAAATATGAAAATCTTTAAAAATAATAACAAAACAACAAATCGATAAAAATAATATATATATATCAATTATTTAATAATTATATAATTATTATTATTATTTACCTTTTCTATCTTTATTTTCTACTTTTTCTACCTTTATTTTTTATTTTTTCTACTTTTTCTACCTTTATTTTCTATCTTTTTTTACTCTTTCTATCTTTATTATTTACTTTTTATCTTTATTATCTACCTTTTCTATCTTTATTATTTATCTTTTCTACCTTTATTATTTATTTTTTCTATTTTTTTTATTTTTTTTATCTACCTTTTCTATCTTTTTTACCTTTATTATTTATCTTTTTTACTCTTTTTATCTTTATTATTTACCTTTTTTACCTTTTATACCTTTATTATTTATCTTTTTTATCTTTACTATCTTTATTTTCTACCTTTTCTACCTTTTTCTATTTATCTTTTCTACCTTTTATATATATTTTTTATAATCTTATAATGTAAATAGAACTAAAATGTATTAAGAAATTTTGTATAAATAGAAGTACTGTCTCTACACACTCTCTCATATTTTAATACTTAAACAAATTAATAAATTTTAATCTTAATATAATAAGTTAATGATTGCCTTATTGTTATAAAATTAATATTTATCCTTGTATCTTCTTCCGTTGTCACGAGTCCCAGGCTCAAGTAGGTAATCTCGTGACGTGGGTATTTAACCAATATTTATTTCGATATTTCAATGGTTCGATCCAGTTGCTTTTAGAATCATGGCGCAGTGCGGCTTCTTCTATTCTATTAAATTAAAATAGGTAACACTACTACTAATAAATATCTTCCTTTGTATTTACTTAGTGTGGTGACAGTTCTATAGCAATACAGTACTGATATTCTATAGCAACCTGGTTGAGTGTCCAGTAGTGTATAAAGTAAGTGTTA